AAGAACCAAATTTAGCGAAAGTGATGTTAAGGAAGGCCGTCGATGAATTGACATTATCATTGATTGATGGAATAGTTTTGGTTATTAAGAAATTATCATAACTATAATCTTGATCTAAATAAAGAAGCATTAATACAGCATAAAATATTCAATAAAATTTAAGTTAGAAATTAAATAAGTATACTCAACAATTTATATCAGTATTAGACATCGGAATATTGAGCAACGACCAAGAAATATTATCATTTGTAGAGGGTGAAGAGAGTAGAAAAGTATTGTTCTGTGTAATAGCGTTTACACTAAAGTAGTTTGTAAGAAGTGATTTTGATGATATTGATTTGCTGCTATAATTATAATTGTAATAAATATGATAATAAGTATTATTATCATTATTATTATAGGCTGCAACTCCTAATATATAATCATCGTTGAATGTCATTATTTTTGCTCTAAAATCTTGCTGAGACAAATCGATTATATCAGATCTGAATATTTTTCCTGATGAATAAAGGGTAATAACTACATATTTCGTTGTATTATTGTTTCTAATAGAGGCTATGCAACGAATATACCGAGTAGGTTTATCACAATCAACTGAAATAATTATCGTATTGGGTTGTGTTATTTGATAGATAATAACCGGAGGTTCAACATTATTTATCGTTTGATTGTAAGATATAAACTTCGTGCAAAGTCCACCAATTGAATCTTGCGTATAGTTAAGAATTGCTAAATAACCACTATCAAAGGTGGAAACAATCGACATTAAAGACAACTTCATAGAATGATCTGACACGATTGGGTTTAAATATGCATAACCTGTTAAATTTGTCAAATTTCCATTATCATCACTATATGGATATAATAGTAAATCATCAGTGTAATAATTAATACAGTTAATAATAATATAATATATTTACATTGAATATTGTGCATAGCTCCCCCAAACATCATATGACTCTTGAACAAATCTAATAAATCCAAATTTCCTGTTTGCGTTCAACTGAATTGTACTATAAATCCAAAGAGTATGATAAACAAAACCAAAACACCTATTACTAGAAATTTACAAAATGATTATTAATAATTTTTATAAGATATTTGTGACATAAAATATTGCTATACCTTCGACTGATTCCATCCCAATCGATAACTTCCCCGCACTCTTCGTAAGATGTAAGATTAGAAGAATCATTTGTGTTAACATAAGTTACTAGAATGTATGGTTTTTGTAAAGGATATATTGTAATAGGATTTACTAAATTATGCAATATACTTAAATTATTGTTTTTAGTATCATTTAAATATATAACTTTATCGTTAAATTTTTTTAATTTTGTGATCAGCATTATCAAGTAAACAATAATTTATAGAATTTATAGGATCTAATTTTAATTTTGGATCAATCTCTTTAACAGTTCCATTTAAAAAAATAAGCCTTATTCGTAATTTCTGTTCTAAACTCATTCCACCAATTTTTGAACAATTGACTGATGGTGTTGATTCATTTCGTATAATATGAACGAGAATTGTGCCATCATCATAAGTTTTAATGTCAGCTATAAGTGGTTTGGTGCACAAACCAAGCATCGCCCAAAAGATCAGGTACGTTTAGAACTCAACAATAATTCCGACAGTTTTTGTATAACGC